CCCCCAAGCACACAGAGAGAACCAGCGGGCTGTTAATGTTATCCTGTCTCCTAACTCATGAACTTCTGTTGCCATATTTCTGTCTCTTCTCTGTTTTCCTTTGCTTTATTTCACTGGCTTTTTAATTTTTTTCTAAATTCTTAAATCGAACGTTTGGTTCATTTATTTTTATTTGTCCTTGGCTTTGGTAATGAAATAATTAAGGCTATAGATTTTCCTCCAAATATAATTCAGGCCTTGTCCCATTTGTTTTCGATATGTTCTTCCTCATTATTTTCTAAATATTGTGTAATTGCTGTTTTAAATTCCTCTGACCTCAGATTATTTAACAAGCCATTTTCTTATATTTCTAAGCATTTGGGAGCTGGGGGGATGGGGACTTGTATATTTGTTCTAATGTTCCATGGCTGCTTGGAAAAAAATATTATCTTTGTGTGTAGGGTATTGTGTTTCATACATGCAGTTCAAGGAGCCTTTTCAGTTAAGTTACGGAGATTTTCCACATCCCCACGTTCATCCACTCATCGGTCATGGACTGAAAGCTGTGTTTAAGGTTTCCTGCTATTCTCTTAGGTTCTCCAGCATTTGTGTTTTTTCCATTTCAGTGCTGTTTTGCCTGATATGTACAGTTTTTCGAATGTTAGGCCTTCAGTTTGGGTTGGATTTAGCATTAATCTAATGCCCCTGGTGGCACAGCTTATGCCAGTACGAGTAGATGGTCCCGGGGCCGTTGGCATGGCACTCTCTGAAGCTCTTGGAATCCTGTCCTCCCTTTACCTGGGGGACTCCTGGACAGTGTCAGCATTTGACCCACTGCCTGAGGGGCGTGTAAACCAGGACTGTGGTTGCCCACGTGGGATTCGTTTATTTCTTGTTGCTTCCCGAGCCACTGCGCTGGGGGCCAGCTCTGCCCAGTTTTCTGTTTTCCCAGTGTGTCTGTGCCCACCCTTCTCCTGGAGTGTCGGGCCCACCCTGCAGGTCGGGGAGCAGCCCTGCCGCCCGCAGGAGTCTGCTCAGTGTGGCTCCGTTCACAGGTGGCCCTGGAGTTTTCACTGCAAGCTGTGGAGGATGGGGTGCCCCCAGCATGAGAAAGGCCCTCCGTGGGGTGGCCTTCACCATCCGTCGCTTGCCCCCCACCCTTGCCACTCCAAACAAATAGGCGTTGCTGACGTGTAGTCATTCTCGCCTTTGTTTCCTGCCACACTGCAGAGCTCTCTCGACAGCAGCTGGCTTGGACATCAGTTTGGGCATCTCCCTCCAGCCCGACCTGCGCAGTGTGTGCTGTGGCCGTCCCCCCAAGCCTGGGCGTGAGCAAGGCAGGCTCTCTTGGTCTCCAGTGATTGTGCAGCCTTGGGGTGCAAGGCATCTAGATTTAGGAACAAGCAGTAAACCTCCCTCTCTCCACCCCCTCTTTTTTCATGAAGTCCTTTATAATTTCTAGATCAGGTATTGCCTCCCTTGATTTTCATACCAACAAAGTAGGTTTGTCGACTGGGTAGAATTATGCCCAGTTTATAGCTGCAGAAGCTAATGCTCAGGAGGAGGAGCCACTCCCCAGGCTCCCATGACCGGACCCGGGAGAGCAGCGCCGCCTGTGGGAGCTGAGGCTGTGCGGGCCGCCGCCTGTGTGTCAGGAGCGTGCAGTGGGGCTGGGGCTGCGAATCGGCTATGATGCGGGTATTTATGCCACAGGATTTGGTAAATGCTGCGAACCAGCTCCCCCCTCCACACCCACACCCACACATGAGTCATGGTCTATTCATGAGGACAGGTCTATTTGCTCACGTCGGGAGCTTGAGTGAATGTCACAGGGGTAGAATTTTGGAGCCTTGAATTTTTTTTTTTAAACTTAGGGAAAACCAGCTCAAGAAGGATGTCATGATCACCTGGTTATTAATTGGCAAAGCAGTTCTCATGGAAACCAGTAAACAGTCCTCTTCCCATTATACCAGCAGGGCGAGAGCTCCTCGGAGAGTACCTGTCGGAGGGGAATTACAGGAAGGTGCTGGGGGCCTCTTGACTCCAGAGAGAGAGGTTGGGCCCTTGTTCAGCACCAGTGGCCACAGCTGATGTGACGTTTTCAGCGATGGCCGTTGGATCCTCATGGCCTTCCCTCTTACACGGACATTCCTTTTCCTCTCTGGTTCAGAAAGAAACTTGCCCCCCCAGGTGTTTAGTAATCGGGTGCTGGGGTTAGAGAGATTCTCTCAGNCAGAAAGAAACTTGCCCCCCGAGGTGTTTAGTAATCGGGTGCTGGGGGTTAGAGAGATTCTCTCAACATCCCCAGCTCCGTAAATACTGGAAAGATCCTGAGAGATGGAGCCACGGGAGACCTCTCAGAACCGGGCCACGAGGTGGGAGAAAGGGCCGCAGTTGCAGGAAGTGAGAGGTGCCGTCTGTGGTCAGCACAGCATCTGAGCCGTGTTTCTGTCCCTGCAGTGAATGGATACCATGCAGCAGGGACCCCAGCGCATCCTCCTGAGACTGCCCACATGAGTGTCCGAAAATCTACCGGTGATCCCCAGGTAAGGGGTCCTGTTATGGGAGGGAGAGGCAGGTGTTTGTGCGGCGTTAGGGAGGCGTCATTAAGATGAGTCCACCGTCGGGGGGAAGGTGGCCACATACAGCCCACGTCTGCCATGAGTTGAAAGTCGTTGACCATCTAAGTCACTCCAGGGTACCACGATCGGGAGAGAGGGGCGCCTGTGGTTTGTTTGGTTCTCTCTGGAAGCTGGGCATGGTTTGGAGTGGGCGACGGTGATAACTGTTGTTAGGGCTCCACCCTGCTGTCAGGATTCCTGATACAGAGCCTAGGTCTCCATGTCTTTAAGACTATGGAGGTGGCCATGCCATTTCTGTTTTCTACTCATTCCCTTCCTGCCCAGCCCTCACCTGGATGGAGTTGTGTAAAGTGTTTCATACATTTACTGATCCATCCTAGAGGCAACAGGGAGACAGAAAGGAATGGGGGTCTGTTTTAAGATTCCCAGACTGCTTTCGCATTCATCATCTCAGTGACACGTGTGCAACCACACGAGGTAGGTGGCAGGACAATTCCCACATCACAGGTGAGGTCACTGAGGCCCAGACTGGCTAAGTGGTACAGGTAGAGTGACATGGTCACTCAGTGGTCAGATCAGACTTGATGCCATGGTTCCCAGCTGCATTAATCTGCGTCTGAGGACCTGAGGACCAGTCTTACTTATTTAGTCTGTTCACAAATTATCTAGATATTCTCAATGAAGCCACCAAACTCCATCAGCCCTTTCCAGGAGTTAACATGCCAGGCCCCGAGAGCGCTAATTTGCAGAAATGTAATTCAACTGTTGTCTTAGGAAGCTGAGCGCTGGGCTCAGGTTCAGCTCAGTTAAAACTCTGGGAGGCAATTGGACATTTGCATGGGCCAAGGCTTCCTGTATTTAGACGGACTGAAGAGTCACCTGAGCCTCTTGTTAGAATGCAGATTCTGATCAGGAGGTTGAGAAAGGGGTCCGAGGCTCTGCATTTCAAGCCGGTACCCAGGTGGTGCTGCTCGTCTGGGGCGCGCCCCGGGCAGGGAAGATCTAGGCACAGTCGATGGTGCACAGCGCGTGTCCCCTCCATGCCCCTGCTCATGGCACAGGACAGAGCCCTGGCCCGGTGCGTTTCCTGCTGAGCCCCCCAGGTGGCCTCTCCCACGCAGCTTCTGTCCCTGTTTGAAATGAAGCTTATTTATCACCTGACTGAGGGATGTTTTCTGAAGACTTCAGCTTAAGTCCTGCTGCGGTTTGTCAGCCACTGAGAAAGCTGGGGCTGCCCTGGGCATCCTCAGGAAGGGTAATGGAAACAAGCCCTTCATTCTTCCTTCCTTTCCTAATAGACCATGAGCCCCCCGCCCCGAAACACTACGGAGTCGTCACTGTGCCACTTAAAACAAAATGCATGCCGATGACAGCCTTCTCAGAAGCCACTTGGCATGAGCCTGTGACCCAGGGATTCCCCCCCCACATCTGTCCTTGGGATGTACTCGGGGCTCTGATTTATGTGTGAAGTGGCTCTCTCCGCAGCGTGGACGGCACCACAGCACCGCACCACCCTAACTGCCCAGCACCGGGGGCTGGGTAGGAGGCACTGTGGCACCCGCCAGGGCCATCCTGCAGTCATTAAAATAGCATTCTTCCGAAGAAAACCTAAGGATTTAGGAAAGTGCTGGGAACATATTATTTGGTGGGAAAAGCAGAACACAGATTGCACATACAGCCAGCCTCCGAGGGGGGTATCTACGCGTGTGCAAAGACACGTAACTGGAAGAAAAATAAACCAGACGTTGATGGTGGTCCGGCCTGCACCTGAGACTGTGATTCTCAATCAAGGGACATTTGGCCATGTTTGGGGGCATTTGGTTGTCACAGCCAGGGTGGGGGTACTGCTGGCTTCTAGTTAGTAGGGGTCAGTGATATTACTAACCACTCCACAATGCACAGGTCAGCCCCTGTCACCAAAGAATTATCGGGTTTGAAAAGATGAGTGGTGCTGAGGTTGAGAAAACTTGGTCTTGGTAACTGTTATTTTCTTTATACTTTTCATTATCTTTCAAGTTTCCTGAAGTGAACATTTTTACTTTTATAGTAGGCAGATAGAATGAACATTAAGTTAGAGGTGAGGTACTGGTATGGGGGGTGCAGGGGAGGTGAGCCCTGGAGACCCAGGCCTGGGCAGGCCGCCCCTGATCAGGACAGGTGAAGTCTCGTGTATTCTTTTCGGATGATAATGTTGACAACTGAAGTACCATCCGAATAACAAGAATAAATAATGCAGTACATGGAGAGGGCAAACATGCATTTGTGCACAGGCTCCCAGACCCTCAGGTCAGTCGTTACTCTGTGAGCTGGGAAGGGGTTTGGGAGCCTGCACAGCTGGCTGTCCACAAAGGTGCAGGGGCCAGTCATGGAAATGGCATAAGAAGGGTTGGTATTTACCGAGAGTGCTGCCAACAGATGATCCCCAAAGTATATACAGCTCTCTCCAGCCTGCATGGTATTTACTCACACGATCCCAGGCTGTCGGTTATGATTAATAACAGTTACGACTGAATATCTGAAGAATGCATGAATGAGCAAATGAACACATGGCTAATTGCAGTGCAGGGTGGGGGCGGACAAAGTAGCTTCTTCAACCCCCCCTTTGGGTTTTTTTCCCGCTACTTGGTAGCTGCCTCTCTTTGAACAAGCTCATGCGGAAAATTAGAAGGTTGGGGGTGGCGAGGTGGGGGGCATACCTAATCTTCATGGAAACCAGGAGTGTGTCCCCACTGTGCCTTATTATGGGCAGGACTGATGGCTCCGCGTCCAGCAGGCCCAGGACGCCTGCCGCTCCTTCTCCCAGCCCTGGCAGACCTTCCTGGCTGGGCACTGGCGGTGGTGATCTGGCGCCACCCGGCGGAAGTTTTTTCAAGTCTGCAGCCCTGGGAGGCTGCCTCTGGGTACTGGGCAAATGGGGCCCACCTGATGGGCGAGGCAGGGGAATCAAAGGCTGATCGTCTTGCCAGCCTTTGTAGAAGCACATCCTAGCTTGTCCCCTGCCTGCCTGGGGCTTTGGTGGTGGGGACCCTCTCAGATGCCTTAGCAGGTATGAGGAGGGCAAGGGACCTGCCCATCAGTGCCCAGGCCATTTGTGACCCACTTCCCCATTGTTCTGGGTTTCTTTGAACTTCCCCCCAGGAAGACACAGGAGAGGGGAAAGCGAATGGGACCAAGGGCTTAGAAACGTAAGGGACCCTTTGGAGAATAGAGTTTGAGGTAGAGAACAGGGGAAATACTGAGAGCTCATTAACTTAATCTTCCCCCACCCCCTTCGGTGACACTCGTTCCACTGAGCATGTCCTCTTTGCCGGGCACTGAGCCACAGACAGGTGTAGCTGGCACTGTGGCCGTGAGAGAAATGAGGATTCCGCTTCAGCAGTGATGAGAGCTGGAGAGGGATGTGCTACGGGGACCTGGCAGGGTGGTGGTGAGTAGCAGTGGGAATGTCAGGGAAAGACTCCTTGAGAAAGATACTTAAGCTAAGACGAAATGAGCACGTGCTTAGGCTGGAAACAGCATTCCAGGTGAAAGGAACAGCACACGCGGATGCCTGGAGGCAGGGAGGAAAAGCGTTGATTTCAGAGGACCCGTGGGGCCGAGTGGGGCTTCGGTTCACTAACTTAGCAGGGGTAGGGGGTGGAATATGGGGCTGAAGCATCTCACCAGGCCTATTGTGAGGAGCTTGGATTTTGTCCTAATAGTACTGGGAGCCATTGAGAGGTTTCATACTGGATCCTGCCTGCCGAGGGGGTGGGACCCAACTGTCCACAGGGCAGGGAGACAGGGTGGAGAAGATGTGCAGAGCGGGGGCTTGTGAGTCCGTTGTGAACGACACCCCCTCCCCGCTGCTGCAGTGTCCCAGCCCCTGCTGTGGGTATTGTCACCGCTCTCCATCAGCCAGTCCTCACTCCACAGCGACAGCAGAGCCGCNATTGTCACCGCTCTCCATCAGCCAGTCCTCACCCCACAGCGACAGCAGAGCCGGTCAGCGAGGTTAGGAGGCCAAGCTGGAGAGGGATTTTTAAAAAGGGAAGGAGAAAAACTTCCTAGAATCACAGGCAAAGGAAATTAGAAAGCCAAAAAAACAACTTTTGTTATGGACATTTGCCCACATTTATAGGAGTAAAAGGAATAGTGTAATAAAGGACCATGATCGGTCATTTAACTTCAACAGTTATTCAGCCAATCTCGTTTCGTTTACATTCCCAGTCCTTCCCCGTCACCCTACTGGATTATTTTAAAGCAACTTCCTGACACATTGTTTTAACTGTAAACATTTTATAATGCATCCAAAAGGGAAGACATAATCACAATACCATTAGCACATTTAAGAAAACATTATTTCAGTAATAACATTTAATACATATAATCCATATTCAAACTCCCCAAATATCCTCAAAATGACTCTTTAAAAAATTATCTTTATTGTTGAAAGTGTTACAGATGTCCCCCTTTCTGTCCCTATTGCCCCTCGGAGGTTTACTCCACACTATTATCTGTGTCTATGGGTTATGCATATCGAAATGACTTTTATAGCTGCTTTCCTCTGAAATCCAGGGTCCATTCAGGTTTCACACATGGATACATTGGTTGCTGTATCTCTTTAGTTTCTCTTTTTAAAACATCTTTGCTGAGATAGAATTTACATGGCATGTAATTACCCATTTTAAGTGTACAACACAGTGGTTTTAGTATAGTCAAAGTTGCGTAATCTTCATCCCAGTCGATTTTAGAACATCTTATCACCCCAAAAAGAATTCCCCTAAGCCTTAGGCAACCACTGATCTACTTTCTGTCCCTGTAGATTTGCCTATTCTGGACATTTCATATAAATGGAGTCATACCATGTGGTCTTTTGTGTCTGGCTTCTTTCATACTGTCTCACTGTCCATTAATGTTGTGACATGTATCAGCCGTCATTCTTTTTTTCATAGCCAAATAGTATTCCATTGCGCAGATTTACCGTTTTATATAAATGATCACTTTCGTCTCTTCTAATCTAGACTGTCTTTCCTACACACTTGTTCTTTTCTCTTTCTTCACATTGACTTTTTTGGGAAAGAGTCCAGGTCAGGTGTCTTGTAGAAGGACCTGCATTCTTGGTCTGTTTTCTTTTGCTTAGATTCAGGTTCGGCCCTTTTGCCAAGAATACTACCTGGGGCCTGTTGAGTATTTCTCCCGGTGTGTCTGGAACTTACCACCCTTGGGAGGATGCCAAGATTGAGCTCTTACTTAATGTGGCGATGACCAGATTTCTCTTTCACAGCGAACCTTTTGCTTTTTAATTTGTTGGCAATCTGTGGGGTGGTAGGCCGAGACCATGTGCGTATCCTGGTCCCTGGCAGTCTTTTCACTGAGTGCTTCTAGCATCCTGATGATCATGGCCTGAATCTGTTTTGACATTGGGGTTTGCAAATGGTGATTTTCTAATTCTTTATACATTTTTAATTGACATTTTTCTGTAAAGACTTCTGCCCTCCCCTCCCCCACCACCACTTTTGGAGTTAATCATTCATAGTCATTTTTCATATTCATGCTTTAATTGTCCAAACTTGGCTTATGGGAGCCCCTTTAAGCTAGCTTCTGTGTCCTTTGGTTATGTCACATCATTTTTTGAACACTTTCTTACCTTCCAGAACAATAAGGTATTTCAGGTTTACCCGGACATTTGGAATTAGCCGCTTCTCAGGGACCCTGGGTTCCTTTTAGTGGTAACAGTATTTAGAAACCAACTTCTAGCTAGTAAAGGTTCTCACCGTGATTGAGGTGTCGCTCCTTCTGGGCCCTTTCAGTGGAGTGCTACAGGGAGTGCACAGCTGAAAATCCACATATAACTTTTGACTCTCCAAAACTCAGCTACAGTCCCTTGGTATCCACAGGGGATTAGTCCCAGGACCCCCAATGGATACCAGAATCCGCACATATGCAAGTCCCTTATATAAAATGCGTGGAGCAAGGCACGCAGCCCACTCTGCGTTGGCGCATTTCCAGCCGCAGATCGGAAGTACTGGTTGAATCTGAGGTTGTGAAACCCGGATATGGAGGGCAGGCTGTATATTTATTGAAAAAAAAAGACAAAAAAAAACCCTTATGTGTCAGTGGACCCGTGCAGTTCAAACCTGTGCTGGTCAAGGGTCAGTTGTGTTTGCTTGGCCAGTGCCTCGCATGAATGAACCTTCGAGAGGGCTCTGCACCTGTCTCTCCCCCTTGGAGGGTGGCACCTGGGTGCAGCCATGCAGCCTCTGTCTGCCTTCCTCCAGGTTAGCCCAACTTGGGGAGGTGCCCTGGGGCAGAACTGAAAACTTGAGAGGGTCCAGGGTGGGTGAGCTGGATGAGTTGATGCATTGAAAAGGTTGACAGAGCTGTACTTGGTTACCTGCATGCTCTTGCCCCAGATCCTGTTAGGGCTGCTAGAGGAGCTGCTGGAAATAGGGAACCTCGGTGCAGTGATGGAACGTAGACCAGGGCGCCGCCCAGGGAGATCCCCGACTGTCAGAGGCGCTAGCCCCCGCCCCCACCCCCAGGCCTGCTGGATCAGAAGCTCTGGGAGACTCGGCCAGGGCTCGATTTGGGCAGGCTCCTCAGTTAATTCTGATGCACTCTGAAGCTTGAGGACTGTTGATGACAAATGGTGAAACTGAGGCTCAGAGAAGTCACATTACCTGGGAGGATGTGAAGGTGAGTGAGTCCATTTTCTCGTCTGTGACATGGATGATCTGTGAGGTCCTTTTTATCTAGACTGTCCTAGGGTATTGGTTTTGTCAGTTGACTTCCGTTAGCAGTCATAGTAGGTCTGGGCGGGAGTGAAAGCACCAGGAGACCCAGAGCAGCGACTCAGGCAGGCTCCCTGTGTGGCCCCGTTAGCAGGGGCTCCTGAGGCGGGGCTGACCCCCCATTCCCCCTGCCTGGGGGCAGGGGCTCTCGGGTCCCCGAGGCTTGCTGGAAAAGCCCCTCCACGCCTTTTCTGGGTCTTTAGCTGTAAAATCTGACAGCCACTTCCTTACATTCCACTAGAGAAAGGGGAAGGACTCGCAGGATGGCCCCACACACGCAGTGCCTTAGGGGCGAGCCTGCCTCCTGGGCCGTGTGTGGCTCAGGACAGGAGTGGACATCACCTGCCCTGCCTGGAGACCCTACTGAATCTCTAATGTAACCACGAAGAGTGGGACAGTGAGACCCAGACTTGACCCTTCCCTTTAGGTTCCTAGGCTCATCACCAGCGTGGCGTTTTCAGTTGCCAGCCTTCATTTTCTGTACCAGAACCGTCCTCGGACGGGGGCAGGCTGCTGAGGACCTTGGATTCGGATGGACTTGGGATAGCGGTTTTCTTGCCGGCAATGGGAAGATGTAAAGGGCAGATTAAAGTCTGAATGAAAGCGGAATGAGGCTTTCGGCTGAGAGATGCCTCCTGCTTCGGGGCTGGAGAGGTGCAGGGAGACGGCTGAGCCCCAGCGCTCAGGGCGTGGAAATAGGGTTTGATGTGTCCGATCAGGGTTCAGATTGAGCTGCTCTTCTGAATCCTCCTGCCAGGAGGTGGTGGCCTGCAGTCTGCCTTAACTCTCTGCTTCCCAGCGGATTCTGCAGGTTCAGGCAGCAAGCGGCACAGGGAGCCACTTGCCAGCAGAGGGCAGCTAAGGGGTTAACTCCCAAATCGCAGATGGAGAAGGGGAGGCCAGCCCGGTTTGGAGCTGTTCCCCCGAGCCTTCAAGCCTGGCACAGGCGCCCGGAGCAGTGTGGGGTCAGGGGCACTCCCGCCGCCCTCTCCCAGAATATGGTGACTTAGGGGTTAAGAGCAGGCTGAACGTCCTGAACTTGCCAGCACGCGGCTGTATCCCATCCCACCCCCTTCAGGGAACCCACTGAGAAGGAGTGACCGGTATGGAAAACAGCTTTGACGATGCTTCTTGTCTCTCTCTCCAGAACCTGGGGTCCTCGTCACCAGGCAAAAAACAGAGCAAGGAAAACACCATCACGGTAAGTGGCTCCCTCAGCAGCGTGCTCGCTGGGTGGGTGGCAAACTGGGGCTTTCTCCTCAGATGGGCCGTTGCCATGACAACGTGGACAGAGAGTGGAAGTGATGCCCAGCCTGGAACCGGGGAAGTTCCAGAGCTCGGAGGTAGCCAGAGTTCCCCCTGGAGCCCCCCTTCTGTCGACTTCACGCCTCACTTTTCTCTCTGGGGAACAGGTGCAAGGGTGGAGGCTGGAATGAGGCAGAAGCCATTTCCAGGGCGGGCGGAGGGGGATGAGGGGGGTGGACCGTGCTCTGTGGAGGCGCCGTGATGATAAATTACAGCCACGGCAGGGCTGCTTTTGTGCAGGGTAACTTCTGGAAGATGTCAAAGTTAAAAGCAAGAGAGAGAGCCCTAAGAATAGAGTTCCTGGGAGTTCCTGACAGGATGCAAGCAACTCCTGGCTGGAGTGGCCACGC